GATACAGGGGGAACAACAGGTACCGTACCGTACGTACCGCTCCATTTCTCAATCCACCTGGACAACCATCGACAACCACCCACAACCATCGACAACCATGCACAACCATGCACATCTAAAAATATCCTCCTCAAGACTCCAGAGCTAAGAGTCAAAAAGCCCCCCAACCCTAACCCCCCCTCCCCAAGAAAAGATATACCAAAACCAGTAATCCGTTCCATCCCCGAATTGTCCTTTTCAAGTAACACCCACTTCACACCCACCCTCTCCATCCCCATTTGTCAACTCGTACCTCCCATCCATGCCAAAAGGGCGTGTGCACAGGGTCCGGTACACCAAGATTCAAACATCACCTGTTCCCAAAGCAACCTCGCATCCCCAAGACCCTGAATAAAAAATCCATCTGCTACACCGCAGATAAGGCTTGGCGAACAGGGGGCTTCCGACTCCACTGTGTGTACTCTCCTCTTTTGTAAATGGGAAAAAGTACGTTGAGTTGAGGGGATTTTTAATTTATAGGTCAAGCCATTGATGTCATATGTCTCGGATGGATCATAGGGGAGCGAATGGGGGAGATCGGTGGTGGAAATGGGGGTTTCTTATCGTTCTTGGACCCCCTTTTTGATGGTGTTGGGTTAAGATTATGGGTTGTGATTATGGATGGATTATGGATGGATTATGGATGGATTATGGATGGATTATGGATGGATTATGGGTTGTGATTATGGATGGATTATGGATGGATTATGGATGGATTATGGATGGATTATATGATAAATGCGATGGAGCAGATAAATGCTGATTTGAGCGCAAACTCATTTGGGGACTTGGGTGCATAATCTTCAGGATAGAGATTCAATGGAGAAGACTCCTTAGATGAGATGATTGCTGGACCGACCATTCATGGATGGCGGATACAGCGCTTGTACATGGCATTCTGTATCTATCTAGGTATCTCGTCTTCACCCTTCGGTACCATCAAAGTACCTCGAATACTCTGGAGAGTGAAGATCGAAGATTTGATACATGATCGTCTGTATCAGTGTATATACAATTAACGATGGAGCACACACGCGCACACCATACCATCGATCCAAACTCAAAGTCTCAGAGTGTCAACGTCTCAAAGGATGAGAGAGGAGACACAAAAACATGCTCAGTGGAGAATGTACGAATGTATCAACCAACATCCTCTCTTTGCGGATCTCCCAAACGAGAGATCCCTCTAAGGTTATACAAAATACATCACCATCACACATCAAACATATTTCCCACGCGATCCGGCTGCATCCAGTTTCCCATCTCCACTACCGAAGTATGAGGATTATCCATCTTCTACCAAATGCTAACATCACAGTGACATTACCCTTCCCTCCCATCTCAACTCTTATGTCGATGTAAATACCTTGGGCATCTACATCTCTCTCTCTCTCTCTCCAAATTCCAAAAGAACCCGTTCACGTTCTAGACACGTGGAGAAATACACAAAAATATGGTGACGGAGTGGTACTCGATCTTCCCCAATTTTGTGAGAGAATAAAAATAAAAAATTGGAGAAGGAACGCGTGGTCTTTTTCTCCAACTCTCCACGTCTCGGTCAAATTCTCGCGGGCTCTTTTGGTTTTGTGTACTCTGTGTTCTAGATTGGTGTTGTTGATCTACTGCTATATATAAAATTTCCCTTTCATTATTCATCATTATCAAACGAGATGTCTGGATATGTATCTATCTATCGGTCTATGAATCACGGTCCAGATGTTCGCGCGTTTGGTATTATATATGTATCTGACATCTGTATACGAAGTATATATTCCTATCTGATTCCTATCGGAGATAACCATGCACCACCTTACCAATCATGCCAATCGGCAATCATCACATAGATATTCAACCTATGTTTCATAATCCCCATTCATTCTATTCTATTCTATTCAATTCAATTCAATTCATACCTCTCTATCTCATACCAATACTCTATACTCTATACTTTAAACTTTCCACTCTATATCCATCAAATCTAATTAATCCATCCATCAGCATCATCATCGTCATCATCATCATTATACTTTAAACTCTAACGACAACGGCCCGGTTTCATGTTTACGGAGTTCGGGAGTGAGGACGGAGAATAGGTCAGGGTAATAAACACCATGTAGTGTAAATTACAATATAGTCACAATCTTATCTGAATCTGATACGAGTACATACTTTATTATATTATGTAAATCAACGATGATGTGTGCAAGTACCGGTAGAGCACAGTGCAAATTTGAGATATATAATTTTGAACATGCATGAAGGCTTCGGTGAAACAAATTCTTCCTTTCCTCCTGGGTATATGCTGATAGTAAGATTCATCTATTGGAAAGTTTCGTTTACATAGTAGGTGATCCGGTAGTATATCCCGTAAATGAGAATGTATATGGAACTACCTACCGGTCTAGTATGCGACTCCCCATCATCTATCTGCGATCACAAGACGGGTTAAACAGCGGTAGGTACTTGTACTGGATAAATAGAGATCGAAAGAGAATGAGAAATGGCGGTAAGGGTTGATATTCTGAGTTTGGTAATTTCGGATATACGTCTCGCAACTGTTTGTTCATTTGGGTATGAGGTAGATAGGTAGGTATCTTGTACAGACATATACCGGTATACATATAGTAGTAGTAGTAGTAAATTCATAATCGATTCGATCTATATAGCTATGCTAAGACCATGCGATACACCTGTATTTGTGTCTAATTGAATAAAGTAGATAGGAAAAAGACATAAAAACCTATTTCCCCTTAGTATCCTACCAAGTCGCCTATATTATATACCTGTCCTGTTCAACATTTATAGCTCGTAATACCTGTATTTTTGAAGACGATGTTGTTGTGGTTGCTTCGTTTCCATTCTATGAGTTAATAATGTGTGGCCTATTTCCACCCGGCATAATGGTGTAGGCCCTCTTTCCCCTCTTTTGCGATGCGACGATTTTTGTTGTTGTTGATGTGGTATACATATACATATACTAGATAGATGTAGATACAAAAATCCAACCGCGCAACTAATAATTCCAATTTCTGGTGCTCTCATTACAGTTACATGTAGGTAGTCAATCCAATCCATCCCCAGCACACCCCAGCACTGCACCCAACCGACAGCCTAAAATCAACGAGGCTGTGTTCCCTCTCCTCATCTCTCCTCATCTCTCCTCACCTCCCCTCCACAATATATACCCTACCACAACTACCTAACCTATTCTATTCTATCCTACCACAACTACCTAACCCAACCTATTCTATCCTACCCTACCACAACCATCCTACTTTACCCTACCCCAACACCACCACCACCACACCGCATCTAAAAACCGCAGATGACCCTTCGAGTCCCATTCATTCATCCCATCCCATCCATATCATTCATATTATCCATCCAAGTTCCACCCCACTACACCCTTCCTCATCACCCTCACCCTTCCAATCCAACCACTCACACACCATTCCCCTCATCCAAATACTCTCTACCCATCTATCTAGAAAGCTTTCGCGTTTCAGAATTCCAGGGGTTCCTGGGGGGAGGGGAGGAGGGACTTCGTTTGGATGTATATACTTCGTAGGTAGATATAGATTATATATATTTACGTCACTGATATTCCTTGATGCGATTTGATACTAAGATTAACATACCCGAGTATCAACATCAGAACGAGTACTAAACTACACAGAGAATAATACGGTTAAAGAGTATTCAAACGAGTATGTGAGTGAGTGAGTATATTATCAAATCAGCAAGTATTAGAAAAGTTTGCGATCTCTTCAGATGAGATGAGATGTAAATTATATACATGTACCGGTATACAAATGACAGGTAAAAATATCTAGTAATTTGTTTCGTGTGTATTGTATTGGGAATCCCATCCTCTCAAATCGTGTCGCATCACTATCACGTGCTTACTATCATATTATCGGTTGGAGACACCTCGAAAACTTGTATAAGCTATATATATATTTCCTATAGAGTTACGCGGATTTACATGTATATATTTATTAAACAAATACATACACTCTCTATATCTTATATATTTCATATATCTCAATTCTCTTACATATCAATTCTCATACATCTCAATTCTCATATCTCTCTATATCTCTCATCTCAATTCCCATACATCTCATACATCTCAATACCCACCAACCCCTTCCAAATTCCCTTCCCTCCCCTCCCCTTCCCTCCCCTTCCTCCAAAGCAAAATACAAACAAAACAATCTATCCAATCCTATAATTTCAACAACCACCATCCCAATATCATCCATCACACACACATACACATCCACATCCACATCCACATCCCCCAAAACCCATAACCATACCTTCCTAACATAACACCTAGCCTTCCACCCACCCACCCATCCATCCATCAACCCTAAGATTTACCTACCCCCCTACCTCCCGCCCTCCTCCCATCAAATGATTATCCACAATCATCTATCTACATTCATTCAAGATCATCCATCCATCCATCCATCCATCCCTCTTGCCCCCCATCCATCCATCCAGGATCATTAATCATTAATCATCAAATATAAAACATCAAACAAACTCCCCTCTCCCCTCTGCCATCCAATCGCGCCCCTTCCCTCCCCTCCCCTTCCCCCATCATCTACATACCAACCCAAAACAGCCTTCGTAACCACCTATCCTAACCTCCCTCGGATAGATAGACAGATAGACAGATAGATGGATACATATCAAAAAATGTATACATACATACAACATACATACATACAACATGCATGCAATTGACATCGCAATCACTCAATCAAAATGGATTTTCCACTGGAACGTATATATGTATGCTGTCGGATGATTATACATACCAACACACATTATCCAGTTGTAAAATCCCCCGCATCGCATTTGTGTATTCCGTAATATCAATTGCCCATTCCATCAAACTCCCTCTTCTCACAGTCTGGTAAAATTCTCACTCAAATACACCAATCAATGTAAATATTAAAGTTTATGATATTTTATTCGTGATATTAATTTCTATAATCGTAGCGACGGTATGTGTATAAACCTGATCTCATCCAGGTCAATACCAATCCGACTCAAGGTATTCCAGCGCTCTGTTCACCCATCCATCTAATCCAATTCCATTGCCACTCCCAAATCCTTTCAACCATCCATCCTTCCTAATCCCCCTTTCCCGATAATCGCAATTCAAAATTGGGTATGTGTGAACGAATGAACGAAGAAATTTAAAGAGAAACAAACTAGTAGTACAACAATACACGGCACGCTCAAGTTACAATTGAAACGTGCCAAATCAAATTCCCACCGCAATGCCCCTGGCAAGATACATGCCGCCAAAGATGAAACCCTTTTCAACGCCATCCATTAAAAGCACACATTGATCTTTGCTCCCGTCCCAGACAGCGCAGATTTTAACCCCGAAAATCACAAGTGTAACTCTGGTTTGGTGCCTCGAAAGAAGAAGAAAAGGAGGACAACCATGTAGTGATCGAATTAGAAGTGAATATAAGTTTTCGTGACTGCAATCCTGTCCGCATCGTATATATAGAAAGGACTCTCATTGTCAAAAGTCGCAGATTGATAATCGAGATGCAGAGGTTTCAATCGCTGCCACCACTGCAAAAGGAAAAGGGTATTGAAATGATGCCAGGAAGCATTAAGACAATTAAAATTTGCGTCGAAGATTTTGGTTGACCAATCATCTTTTTGGTCGTCTATTGTCGTAGTATTGGTAATATGAACAAAGCGTAACATGTATAGTAGGTATTGTACAAGTTAAAAGACGTGGAATTTATTCATCCGAGTGATGGTCATCGGATCCAGCTTCCGATTTTGCGTCGCCCTTGTGGACTTTCTTATGTCTTCGTAAGTTTGAGACAACAGAGAAATGTCTGCCGCAACCTTCAACGTCGCAAGGAAATGCTATTTTTCAGTTAGTTCAGATGGCTTGCATTGGTTGTCGAATGTGGATAACTCACGCTTCTCCCCAGTGTGACTGTACATGTGTGTTTGTAAAGAACTTGGTCTGGTAAATCTCTTGTCGCAAACCTTGCACTTGTGCTTCTTTTGGGTACTGGTCGATACTTTTGAGCTGAATGAGCCCATCATGGATTGAGGAGGTAAAGGGGGGTTTCCACCGCTAAGAATACTGCCGGGGGGAGGTAAAGTTCTCGCTGATACTGATTCCATATCAGACCCGTTTGAATAGTCGGACATTGAAGAATCGACGGAGCCGCCGTAGTATGGGTAGCTGTTTGATGACGAAGAAATCGACGAGTGGTTTGAGTGTGTTGACGGGAAACCGTATGAATCGGCAGATCCTCTTCCAATTCGCGATGGACCAAAAATGTTTCTTGGTGTGGTGTTTTGGCTCATGGCAAGCATGTCTCTGGCGCCATCCATGGTTGGGTCTCGTAGATAGCTGGCATTATCATTGTTTGGCAATCCTCTGTTATGAAAGTCAATAAGGGAGTTCTGACGATGGGACCGCGGGGCATCGGCTGGGGCATCGAAGAATGAATTGGAGGATACTGACGGTTGTGAGAGGCGTCTTGAGTTATCTTGTTGCTGAACGGAATATGCACGAACTGCGGATGGGATTGGTGCCGGCGCATAGCCAGCGCCATCAAATGGAGATGGGGCTGACGTATAAGCAGTGTGAGCAGGCGAAGGTGCGTTGTTGTACCCGACGTCGCTCCCATATCCAGGTGGTAAAGCACGAGTAGGGCTCATCATATCTTGTTGACTGGTGAGTAAATCCTGTTCCACTCCAGAGAAATCCGAAAAGAGGTTACCTGCTGATGCCGCAGTAACTGGCACGCTATACGGTCCCGCTGATACATGGCTACTTATGCGTGCACTCTGCTGCCTTTCAATACCCTCGAGTCCCAGCGTTGGTGTGTAGATGCTGGAATTGGTGTGAGGCGCCGACGTTGGAGCACCCCAGTTCGGTGGGATGAATGTTACCGGTGCTGGATTCGAGTATGGCAAGTTGTGATTGTAGTGCATACCACTGTCAAAAGGCGATTGTCGGTCCATTGTCATTGTCATCTTTGGTGGACGTAATAAAATACAAAGTATAAAATACTGATCAAGCAAACAATGGCGCGCGTGGTGGATGGTCTATTTGTTGTGTGTATAGAAGTGTAGTGTAGGGTAGTATCAATAAAGCGTAGATCCGATGTGAGATCCCGTGTAATGGACGTGTATTAGTGTTGATAAAGAAAGAGTTCTCGAGGTAAGGAAGAGTCGATCAGTAAAGTGTAGTGATGTGCCAACGGGTGGGATCAGCGTTCTTTATGTGCTTCAGTCTGGGTGAAGAGAAAGCTTAAGGATGGAGGGAAGGAACAATCAAGGATAATGGTTGGGTGGGGTAATCCTTGAATGGTGTTGAGATGAGTAGTTTCTTTTGGAGAGCAAAGAACGACTAGTCAAGGCGTTCGATAATTGGAGAATGCGTCTGGTTGAGGATGCTTGTCGACTTGGATGTAGGAGGGGTGTTGAATAAGAGCGGGGCCCAAGTTGCACTTGAATCTCTTCAGAAATGATCGACGCAAGTTATCTGCCCTTGTTCTTTTTATGTTCCGCTGGGTACTTGGTACTTGGTCTTGCTCTCTGTGTATGTGTGTGTGTACGTGTGTGTGTGTGTGTTCTTTTCTGCTAGTTGGTGTGGAGAGACTCCGAGAGAGGGAGAAGCTAACAATCTCGTAGGGTAGTTGCGGTGAGCGGGTCAAGTAGTGTCTGTGTTCTCTTTTTTTTTCTTCTTCTTCTTCTTCTCTCTCTTTGTTAGATTAAGCTCATCAGACAAGTCCCACTTGACAAGTTTTCGAGAGTCAGAGCAACTGTCAGATCTTCGGCAGTCCTATTGATCTACTGATGGTGTATACCTGGGGAAGATGTCAATTCGAATGAGGTAGTGATATAGCGGTAGTTGTGTGTGTATTTGTATGGACGGTCCCAGGTGTATGGATGTGGAATATGGATATTGATATTGGTATGAATATGGATTATTGAATGTGAAAGAGTTATTGACGGTCCGTGGGAAGTCATAAACCCCAGAGAGCAATTAGCCAACAGCCTCAGAGCAGACAGCAGAAGATTGAAAGAGGATATGATCGGAGGGGTTGGTTTGTAGAGAAAGGGCTGAAATTTGAACATATATTTGCCAAAGTTACATGCCCCAAAGTAGGTGAGAGAGGTAGGCAGGTAATTCAAGATTATTTACTTGGAAATGATAAATAAATGGAGAATGATTGAAAGGAATAGGAAAGATTTCTTGATGATCACCTCTGAAGCAGGGGGGGGGGGAATTTTATGTTTGATAGAGAAGAATGAACCCTTTTTTATGAGGATGAAAATCATGAATTGAAAATGGACGGAAGTTATTAATAAAGTTTAGTTAACTCGATCAAGTAGGTACAAGTTGTTAATAAATGTTGAGTGAGGTTCAGAGAATGGATCAAAGTAGAAAACTCAGAGTAAACTTTTTCTTTCTTTCTTTTTTTTCTTTCTGTCCTTTCTTTTCTTGTCTTTCCTTTTCCTTCCTTCACTTCCTTCACTCCCTTCACCATTCTTCCTTCACCTCACTTCACTCACTACTTGGGTTAAAGTTCGAATTTTTAGTTTACACCTAGTACCGTAGTTCCCTCAGTGTTTTTCCCAGGCCCCATTTTTTCATGATGTAAGTATGAGCAAGGATTCATGGTCCGGAGCATATGTGACCCATGTAGGTAATCCTGGTATGGCGAGCACCCTTGGATGATTATTCATTATTCATTATTCATTCTTCTTTCTTTCTTTCTTTCTTTCTTTTCTCTTAACCCCGAGAAATGTATCCCGAATTCCCTTCCCTTCCCTTCCTCCAAACTGGCAGAATTATTATTCCCGGGAGTAATGTTGTATTATGTGGGGGGCATCTGGCTAAAGTCAAACATTTCCATGTCCCTAATACCTACCTAATACCTATCTAATGCCTACCTAGGATTCTTGAGCGTCTCAAGGTCTAAGGTCTAAGGTCTAAGGTCTCAAGGTCTCAAGGTCTCAAGGTCTCAAGAGAAGAAAGAGTGAGTTTCAAGAGGTGTGTCTCTCGAATAGTCTCGATGGTTGTTTATCAAATCCCAAAGAGAGTAACATAGTCAATGCGATAAAACTCAATACCACCGGTCTACCATACCTACTTGCTTTTGGATAATGAACCAGGCGATAGTAAGGAGAGAATAATGAAGCTATCAACTTATCTATCGAGATATTAATCATATTTGTGTTACTTTGGCGCCTTCAAGTATTACTCGAATAGGTCAAGAGAAATGAGGAATTCCGAGTATCTATCTTACCCTAGCAAATACATCTACCTACGACCTACTACCTACTACCTATCACACACAGACATAGATACTATCACCACCACTGGCTACTTATTACTACCATGTAACGACGACATAAAAGCTGAATCATGAAAATGGGTAATAAAATGCTAGGTAGTCAAGTCGTATGTAGTCAGTCTCAAATTAGATCCATTGTAATGTAAGTCTTGCATCTTTTGTTTTCCCTCCATCATTGACTCGAGTTCTATTCGTCATTCAACATGCATCTCAATTCCATTGCTGCGTATTATCGTCTTATGTACTATGTGTTATGTGTTGTGTGTTTTCACGTCTTTTCACGTCTTTTCATCCGTTTGCTTGACTTCCTCCATCCTGATACATGTCACTTATGGAATGCGCTTGGCTTGATTGACGGGACTCAAAATGGTTCCTAATTGTCTAAACTTCCGCCCAATAGAACTCGTGAAGAAAAGGAAGACAAAGACAAACCTAGTCTTATTAACATTATTAGCATTGTTAGCATTATTTACCTACCATTGTCTTTTTACATTTTAGGCCACGGTAGGGATTTTCACGCCCAGCTTCATGTGTAGCGTACTCCACTCCCCCCTAACGGATGTACCACTTTGATCCCTTTTCTCACAGAAAACAATGATGAATTGCAATATAAAATGGGAGCAACAGCACAAACCGCTGACAGCCACTTCCGTCAAACGGATGAATCAAGGGCGGTTGGGATACATGTGAGCCCTTCGTGACTGGGATAAACGTAGCTTCTTGGGGAGGTGCAATATCGAGCTTCAAAGAATAATCACGATGCACTTAATGTGATTGATCATTCGTAGGCGAAAACCTTTCATCATTGTACATATTCCATAGACGCTGCCGTGATAACATTGGTGCTGCTATTTGCTGGTAGTGGTATAGTACGAAGTTGTGTGACAAACACGAACTCACCGATTAGATCCAAATTTGCCCTGGCCCTGGAATTCGACCACAAGTGTAGTGATTCCAATCCAAGTCAACGCAAGTCGAGTTAACCCAAGGGACCAGGTACTCTCCAAAAGTAATAGACCTCTATCTTTCCAATTGTGGGGTTTGGAAGATTCTGTGATTCATCTGTTTGAATTGTGAGACTTGCGATTCCAGATAACTAGGTTACAGACATCTACATACAGCTAGATACATTTTCAGAATTAGAACACAGCAAGATATCTTCTTTTTTTTCTTTTCTGATTTTCCTTTCCCTTCAAGGTAGCTTGCAAATGAAGAACGGTCCGGTACTGTACAATCAATCTCAAACACGGTACTTAAAATTACCTAGATATTATTAGTTGCAGGCACGGGCGGAGAAGATTGTCTGTCCACACAGGCTGGGAGAAGAAAAGGTAAGGGAGAGAGAAGAAAGTCACTGTGTGGAGTAGGCAATGCTCATATCATTCTGTCATTGGCCATTGGCCATTGGTCTTTAAATCACTCTTCGAGGTTACATATACATACTCACATCTTTAATCTGCGAAACCGGGAGATTCAATCATATAACTCAATTTCCTTATACCTTGTTTAGACATCATCATATCTCTCCATTTGTCTCCAAACATCTCGAGAATCTCGTGGGACTCCATTATTATCTTGAGATCTAATTTCAAAGGGTTTCTTTTTTAGAAACTGTAAAAATGGATAATATGGAGACACGCTTTTTTTTTTGGGTAATGACGGCATTTTGACTCTCGAACGAATGAAATGAGTAGCAGATGCAAGTTCTCCTTTTCAAGTTACTCCAGTTCTATCCACTTGATATCATTTTAATTCCTGACCCTCTTTCAACTTGTACTAAAATTTTCATGAATCTGTGATTCCTTCAACGGATGGATTCAACCGTCATTTCACAAGTAGGGTGTACTGGGTCTAACACCTCCTTGCTGAGGCTTGCTTTAGCTTCAACTTGGCTGAATGCTCAATGCGCGCAGGAGGGATCAGATGGACCCCGAAATCGTCATATCTTACCGGGGTTCGGGGAAAGAGGTTGTCTCTGCAGTCGGTGGCGCCAATAAGCTTGTCTGAGCACGAAACAATGGGAACGCCATCATTCCTCACGAATCTTGAGCGATTGCTAAGGGCAATATCAAATCAGAAGCTATCAGTGACGAAAGAAAATGAGGTTGTTCAATAATGTTATCATTGCGCGACAATTAAACGAGTGACAATGAAGGGGTAGTCGAATTTTTCCCTTTCGAATATGTTGGGCTCATGTAACTAAACTGTGAGAATACGAGTAAGTGCAAGAAGAAGTAAGCATTCTCAATCTCCAATCCCAGTCACCTCAGATATAAATAAAAAGCCACCATCAAGCCACTGAGACCAAGACTAGTTGTCGATGAGTACCTATGCTTGGCAATTTCATCTTATGGTTAGGGCAAGCGTCTGCTGTAATCCAATTGATTGATAGGGAAACGGAAAGAAGCCTCTTTCTCACCACACCCTCGAAAATGGCGTTTATTTGCCACTGGACCAGTGATGTTAGGATAGCATCACCAGTTCAAAGCACCGCCGTTTATCATCGTCAAAACAATTGAGAGCCTCGGCATATACCAGTACGTTTCACGGAAGTATGATGTTGGTGTGTGGGGAAATGGGATTGGATTAATCACAAGAATGTGATTTTGGCAAAAACTTGGTATCGCGATTCAATACCAACATCTGCAACAACGATGTCATCATTGTGCTACGATGACCATCTGCTTCCTTTGGGCTCTCACATCCTCTCTCCTTCAACTTCTACCAATTGAAATTTGGGCCGTGATATTTCAGAACGCATACCGTCCTGTCAATAATGAGGCTGACTACCGAGGAGAGTAAGTCTGCTAATTCTATCTATTGTTCTTCTGAATCAATCCTCAAACCTAAAGCGAAAACACTGTGAGGACTTTCTTAGGATCATAAGGTCACAATAAGCCTTCCCATCCGGCAAGGCGGGACGAAGATCACGACAGGAGATGGTATGGAGAAATCTGACAGGGTAGGTATGAACTTTTCCCTTGGAATACTTATTGGATAAGGTGTTTGCGAAATGCGACGTACACAAACCCTATTTGGGACATTAATCTCAATTCGATTTGTTTTCCTTCTTTTTGGTCCCTCGACTGGCATGAATGAAAAGTATCTCACGAATTCCCTATCAACCCATCAAGAAAATCCCTCATCTTCCTGTGTCTATACCAATCGACAACCGCGGTTCACGGCCCCCAAACATGTACAGGAATCGACGCGATCTAAAATGAAGCATCGGTAATTTTGTTTTGACGGTTCTACCCTTCCGCATTCTTTGGCTTGTCACTCGAAGTGGTAATTCTGTTATCAGAAAATTTCAGACTCGCTAATCATCGCAACGATTTGTAACGGCAAAGGATTCATCTCAGCACATGGTATGTAGTATTATTCAAACGGGATAATAATACATAAAACCGTTTGGTCGGCGATATCACTGACTCGGTAAATTGAGCGCCGAAGAGTACACCGAGGCGAAGGATGAAGGGGCGTCGAGTTTCTCTTTCTCCTCGCAGAGTGTGGATTTTCCATATTCTTGATCACGAGTCGGGACAGACATGATGATATCAAGAATCAATCAATCAATCAATATTCTCTATTCTCTATTCTACTTTCTCCTTTCTCCTTCCTTGATAAAAATAATTGTGATGGATCGGTATCCCATCTGCCGTGCGCAAATTCACACGTATACATTTGTAGGGGAGCGATTCCACTCGCTCGACGCAACTAATCAATTACTCGACGCTATTGTGTTCAATCGTGTTGGTCGTTCGATTCCGATTTGCTCTTCTGCCATTTCTTTTCTCATCACCTTTTTCCCAATTTCTCCTCTTTCACGAGATTCAAACGGTATGTGCGTACCGTATTAGAGATTCTGCTACTGGACTGCCGCCCGGATCGACAACAATCCCGGTTTTAGCGCATTGAATACGCAGTAAGTCAGCACGCCACAATCTAC